AAATATTTAACCAACGAGAAGTGTTTGAAACCCTGCCCTCTATAAAACTCCACCCTTGTGGGTAGCCTGCAGCTTCAGTGTGACCTCTTAGGACTGTTTGCTGCACAGACAGCAGGATCCTCAAATAAAACCATCAGAAAAGTGAACTCACTGGCATATGAAGCGAGTAGGACAACTTGTTGAGTTTAAGGGGGAAGTTGACTCCAACCTCGCCTCCTCCCTCCTCTTCCAATCCTTCCACGCCGTTCTTTGTCACCTCCTCCGGCATCATCAGCTGCTGTGGAGGGACCAGGTCATGTGTAACCAACGAACCTCCAGTCAAATCCTCGTCATCTTCATCGTCATCATCCTCAGCCAAAAGGGGCTGGTTTGCAAGCGATCTCTCCCCGAGGGTCATCACCACCAGTCCCCCAGTGCCCAAACAGACTCTTCCTCTGCCGTCTATCCCTCCGCTGCTGCATTTCAGCAGCATCCCATCCAACTTGTCCTCAGTGTTCATCTTACATCGAGTATTCCTATGGTCTGTAAAATGAAAAATTAGAAGGAGATAGGATTTAATTTAAACATAAAGAAACCAAAACATGTCTATAAATGTAAAGATAATAAAAAAAAGCCTTGGAGCAAACACTTGTCAGGCAGCAAAAAGGAAGAAAGACTCAAATTACGAACAAAGGTCTGAAAGGTTAGTTTTCAGTTCCTAAATAAAACATAAACTGAACACTTTGGTCACGCTGTTTTGTTTATGTCACATTTAAATGTAGAGTGAAATAAAACGGCTAAAAAAACTGGGTTGATACCTGGGTTAATGGTTGTTATGATCGCACAGAGGTGGATATCTAATGTCAACAATGTCTGCTCCCAGGAAACTGTCAACTTTTTCAACTAAGGCAGCTGTTACTTCTTTAATTATATATTTCAAAACAAACTATATGGTTCCAAGCATCTAAAAAGCTAAGTAAATCAGCTTAAAAAGATTAGAATTGATTAACTTACATGTAAAAGCAGACGAGTGTAAAGATAAACAGACAGATAACCTCAACTTTAACACATCTGTTTAAAGACAGAAAAAAACAATGATATTATAGTATGATAAATTAACAGATTACATGGATTTACTTCCCTGGACTGGTGTAGAAGCTTTATTTTAACATAAAGTCTCATTAAAAAGATAACAACTAGCGTTAGCAATGGCTTCAAATCAGCTAAAGCTAGCTAACGTAGCATTTATGGACGTTTTTAAAAGGAGTTTTACAAGAGTTCAGCTAAATGAGCAGAAAGCCGCCAGACGTTTTCTGCAACGGTGATAAGAGAGACAGCAGTCAATGTAAACAGACTCACTGTAGCAGGCAGGTCAAACGGCCTGAGACCCCAGTTAGCCAACTAGCTCACCGCGCTCAGCAAAGCTGCTACATTGCATCGGAGCGACTGAAACAGGAAGAGAAGGCGGCTGACACTTCAAAATAAAAGCACTCTAAAAACGTTCTCTGAGGGGTTGCAGTCTTTTTCTAACAGGGTGCTTTGAGAGAAACAAGATAAAACCATAAGTAGCTGACTGCAGATTACTTACACCTCGTTAAATATCTCAGCGTTTGGAAGGCACCTAATAGATGTAAAAAGACCTTATTTCAAGCTCGAGATTAACTGCAAATGCATAAAAACAAACTTTTTTTCCAGACAGTAATTTATGTTGAACAAACT